GAGGAATGGACTAGGTAACTTCTAAAGTCCCTTCTACCTCTAAGTCCTCAATTACATAATCCTTTGTGATTGAGTGATAAAAATATGATTGAGTGATAAGAATGGTGAACTAGGTGATCTCTAAGGTTCCTTTTAGCTCTAAATCATATGACTTTAACCCTGAAACAATAATAATTACCCCCATTCTAGAGGGGAGGAAACTAAGACCTGAATCACATAGTGAGTTAAATTAATGACTACTTGACTAGAACCTCCAAATCTCCTGACTCTTAGCTGAGGTCTGTGGTCAGTCCATTATATCAGACCACTGGAGAATGGGAGTATAAAAACAGAGGACCACAGCTTTAGAACAGGAAAAGACATTAGATCAAATAGTCCAGCACCCTCATCTTACATAGGAGGAAACTAAGTCCCAGAGAAAGTAACTAATGTGCCTAAAGTCACAGAATTAAGTAGCAGAACTTGGATTAAAATTAACATCAACTAGATTCTAAAATCCAGCATTCTTTTCATTCTGCCAACCATGAAGGTTTATACTTTTATGTGCCTCCTCCATTAGAGGTTAAGAATTATAACCGGAACTTGTAAATCTTCTCCTTCACTGCTTCACTATCAGAAGGAAGAGTTTCAAGGACTGATTAATATAATGAAATGGGTTGAAGGAGAAATATTCAGTCTCCTGTAGCACTGGACCTGCTTTTCACTAACTGCACAACACTGGACCAGGTGGACGACAGCTTTGCTCTAGGAATGAAAATCAGGCATTACGCTCATTGGTCTGCTAGAAAATGAAATGCTAATTGCAAATCTTCTCTATTTTTAGACTTCACATGCATTTTATTTGGAACTAAGGGCAGTATAAATCCTAAGAATTTCAATTTGCTTTTCCCAGAATCCTAGCGCCAAAATAGACCCCAAGAGATCATCTAAACCACTTCTCTAGCTTCAGGCAATATGAAACAAACACAGCATCCTGGGCAGATTGAAATCTACTCTTTTCCTTGGAATCATCTGTCGACATTCTCCCTACCAGTCCTTATTCAACACTTTCTTCCAGGTGAGGTTCATAACTCCAACTTCCACTAGAGGCCTTGTCTGATTAGTCCCTTTCCATTCTCATTCTTCCTTAACTTTGTATCCTCTACCCCCACCCCTACTTCCACATGCTATCCCTTCTTCTATATGTTATATAGGCCAAGTCAAGTAAGCAAGTATTTATTGAGTACCTATTATATACCTGGCACCACACAATGTGCTGTAGATACAGAGAAATGGAAAATGAAACAGTCTCTGCTCTCAAGGTGTTCCTAGTCTAATGGGAGAGACAACATGCAAATAATTGTATGCACAATCAGGCTATAGACAGCAAAAACTGAAGATAATCTTGGAGACCAATCTATTATTCACCGGGTTATACTCTGCTTAGCTTTGACTTATTGTCAACCTACTTAGGGTATATCTTTGTCTTGTTTCCCAAATTAGTTTGTGAACAACCTCAAAGCTGAGACTGTCTTCAGTTTCAGTGACGTCACAAAGATACTTCCTATCTACCAAGTATTCAGCAGGAGCTTAATCATTGCTCGCTGCCTCACAGAGTGTAACAGTTAGAAGAAATCTTATTGATGTTCCAGTCCAGTCGCCTTCATTTTAGAATAGCCAGGTAAAGGAAACAGTTTTTCTAAGGTTATAATGTTAACAGTATCAAATCTAAGTAAAACTCAAGACTTCTGGTTCCCAGCATTATCCTTCCAATCAAAACAAAAAGAATGGGAGGAACTCCATTTTCAAGAACCTCCTGGAAGGGAAATTATTAACCTCCTTTGGTCACTTATTTCATTATTTATAAGCCCTTTCCACTGATATTCATCAGATCTAACCTCAACCAGTCACTCTATAGCTTCAAGGATCAAGAACCTAGGACAATTTATAATGAAGTTGCCCCTAAGTCCTAAGAGAGAAAAATCAACAAAGTTATTCCATTACTAATTGTCCTCTCTGAAGCCCTATGATTCTGACCTGCCTGCCATATGGGCAAAAAGTCACTTCTGCTACTTCTCATTGCTCACTGATCCCTATCCTCTAATTCCTTTGTTCCCTCTGAAACAACTTATTCTTTTATTAACTAGCAGCTAGGAGCCCCAGTGAAAAGTGTTGGAAGTAAAGTCAGGAATCCTTGGGTTCAAATCCAATCTCAGACACTTACTGGCTGTGTGACCCTTAACAAATCATTTAACCTTTGTTTGATTTAGCTTCCATATCTGTAAAGTAGGGATAACAATTGCACCTATCTCCCAGAATTATGAGGAACAAATGAGCAAACAATCATAAAGCACTTAGCACAGTAAATGTCAGTTGCTACTGTATTATTATTATTAACCAGCATCCCATGGTATGATTAAAAGCACTGGATATGGTATCAATGGACTTGAGTTCAAATCCTGCCTCTGCCACTTAATATTGGGTGACCCTGGGCAAGTCACTTAGCTTTTTTGAGTCTCAGATGGCCCCTTACTTCCCTGCTACTTCTACCTCTGAGTTAAATCCTGTGATCCTTCATGTTAGACTTACTCCTCTCACATTCCTCCCATCTTCTTGCAAACACAGAAACTTGGCTTCTCCCAGAAAACATGGCATCCCCGACTACCTTTCCCAATTCTGGATGTCCCTTCTTTGGTGCTTTGTGGACACACTGCTCTAGAAAGAACAGTTGGCATATTCTATGCTCTTTGAGGATATTTTTAAAAGCTTCTTCTTTGCCGTCACTCAGTAACCTCTATGCCCTCAAGGTTCTCACAATTCATCTACATCACTGGATACAGTTCCTAGTTGATGGCTAAATAGTTTTCCTACTGACCTCCAAACAAACTCCTAGTTAGGGACTTCAATATTATCTATTGATGTCTGCTTAAAAAAAAAGAAAGAAAGAAAAAAGAAACAAACAAAACCTGATTGACTGGTAATCAACTTCTTCAACTCCCACAATTAGTAAATTTATGCTACTGCAGCCACCCAAAGAGATGGCCCATCCTTGGAGCTCAACATCACCCTTAGCTATTCAACTTCCACAATTCAGATTTTGACATACCGCCTTCTGATTGCAACCTCTAATTCTTCTATTTTGTCCTTGACCTCATTCCTCATCTCTCTCTCTCTCTCTCTCTCTCTCTCTCTTCCAGCCTACAGAAGCTTTTCAGCTCATAGATATTATCAGACATACCTTGATGTTCACACTTCCAGTTTTCCCTTATAAAAAAGGAAAAACAAACATTAAAACAGACACACAAGCCATAATCCATGACAACGGTGCAACACTTCATACCCATAATCCCTCATCTTTCCAACAAAAGGTTAGAATTACAGTTCCTAATTATTTCTTTCTAGCCAAGACTCATAAATGTATTCTTCATCTACACTGCCACCTCTAGTGACTCTCTCCAACCCTACTTTCTCTGTCCCTCACTGCCTGAGTTTGTCTCCACAGCATCTCTCATATTTGCTTCCTCTCCACACATATGGCCTAATTCAGACCCTTATCACCTCTTACTTAAACGACAGCATTGGCTTTCTTCCTAGTTTCTCTCCTCTGCAGCCTATCCTTCTTTGTAGCTGCCAAAATAATTTTCCTAAAGCCCTGCTCTGACAATGGCACTCCCCTGTAAAGAAGCTCAATAGCTCCTTACTTACTCTGTAGTGGTATGCTACGTTGTCATCCAAAGTTAACGTCATTCACAATCTTCCTCCAGCCTCCCTTGTTCCAAGTTTCACAAGATTCTCCATCACATACTTTACATTCCAGTCACAATGGCACCCTTTCTAATCCCCATATGTGACATTCCATGCTTCACGACTATCTTCCCCATCTAGAATTCTCATCTTCCTTACTTTCACCTCTGGGCATCCCTACTTCCCTTTAAGGCTCAGCTCGGTGCCACAACCCAGACAAGACGTTTTCTTGACAGGTTCCCACACCCCTCCCTACCAGTTTTTAGTCTTCTTTCTGCCCCCTCTAAAAGTACTTGTCATTTATCATAAGGTCATAGATTTAGGAGCTAGAAGTGACCTCAGAGGTCATTTAGTCTAACCCCTAATTTTACAGATGAAGAAACTGAGTCCAAGAGAAGCAACATGTCTTGCCTAAAGTCACTGATTTCACAAGTAACAGGGCCAAGGTTTGAACCTGGTCTTCTGACTCGAAACCCAGCGTTTTCTCCATTGAACCATTTTTTTTAATGTGTTCTTCAACAGGATGTCAGCTCCGGGTCACTGGACCCCAATTCAAAACATACCTCTGAAGCTTACTCCCAGTGTGACAAGTCATCCTCCCTGGCCTCAGTTTCCTCACTTGTAAAATATGGGGGTTGGACTAGATGGACTTCAAAATTGTTTCCAGCTCAAAACTATAATCCTATAGGACAGAAACTATTTTGGGTTTTGCCTTTGTAGCTTGAGTATTTAGAAGAGTGACTAACATAATTATTAATTAACAAATGCTGAGGGGATAGAGGATAGTTCTAGGATAGAACTGAATCTGTGATTCCATTGATACAGGAAAGTCTGAGTGGGGAACTTCCTCCACGGAAGTAGGTCAGCACTTTCTCTACCACTTATAGTTTGAGAATGTTGCCTAGAAAACTGAAGGTTAAATGATGTAGTCAGAGTCACAGAGCCATCATGCATCAGAAATGGTGCTTGAACCCAGGGCTTCCTGGCTCTAGGGCCAACTCTCTATCTACCGTGTCATATTGCTTCTCAACAATCTATTGAAATAAATTAATTCTAGAGTCTATCAAAGGGTCATTTAACTGAATCTCTCAAAGAAGCTAAACCCTATCAACAAAAACCTTTCCTCAGCTCCCCATCTTTCCCTGCCAGGGCACTTGGCACAAAATTCAAGCCTCTTTAAAGAACAAAAGAAATCATTAGACAGGAATCTGGGGAAAATTAAATATTGGTCTTTTACTCCAGAGCTCTGCCAAGCTGTCTCAAAACAACGCACTCACCTTTTGGTCTTGACTATATGCCAGGATCCAGTCCTCTTGCTTGGGATGGAAAAGTAGGCTTTGGATGTAAAAGTTCAGCCGATACTTTTGATAGGTTGCCCCTTCATCAGAACTGATCAATAAACTGCTCTCAATCTCCGGGTCTGTGAGTAGCATGATCTGTAGGGAAAAAAACAAAAACCAGAATATCAAACCTACCTTAGGAAAAGGAAAAAGTTTGAGTCAAATAAACTTTGAAGAGAAAGGAGAAAGACTAAATGTCCTTGACCTAAAGTAAACTCAAGACCCGTTCTGTTCCAGCCTCCTTTCAGGCACAACTAGCAACCAGGATATTTAGGCTAAAAGCAGGGGAAGAGAATTAGAAGGGCAGTTCCATCCTTCTTTGGAGTACTTAGAGAAAATCAGAACCGAAAGGTCTTGGAGATCATCAACTCCTAGTACTTCATTTTACAGATCAGGAAATTGAGGCCCACAGAGAGAAAGCAATTAAGCTAAGTCAAAGGTCAAGTTACTGGCAGAGTCGAGACTAAACCACAAATCTCCTCTCTCAGTATTCTCATCATTACATCACATTTCTTTTCAGTGTTTTTTTCCACAATGAGATCACTTTGCTTTACCAAATAAGGCCTTTGCACCTCTTTTTCTTCCCATATAATTTAATATTTTTCTTCTTCTTCATATAATAAGAATATTTGCTGCAGTAGGTTATATGATGTGCATGATAGAGGGGCTGGGGGAGGGGTAGGAAAGGACTATTTCAAGCCCTATTCAAATTCAAAACTCATCAACAATTTACCAAGCCATCCATTATATATAGAACATACATCAACCCTAGGAGAAATACAAAATTTAAATAAATTTTGGTTCCTGCTCTCATGGAGCTTACAGTCTAAAATGACAATAAATAAAATGCATAGCTAACTATAATACAGAGTAAGTGTATCATAGTCTCCATTCTGGGAGCAGTCCTAAACTTGCAGAGGTGGTGATACACTGTCTTATTCAACATCATTGTGGAAATTGTTCTTCATGTTGTATTTGTAGTAGAAAGACAGTTATCTTAGACTGGATTAATAAAAGAATAGTGTCCTGAATGAGGGAAGTCCTAGGCACATTGTACTTGGGTCTGGTCAAGAAAAAAAAAAATCAATGATGATGTTCAGTTTGGGTTGTAGCAGTTTAAGAAAGTGACTGACATACTGAGAAGCATGCCCAAATGAGAGCGACCAGGATGGTAAAGAGATACAAGAACAAGCCTCATGAAGATCATTTGACAACAGGGCATGCTTAACCTAAAGAACAGAAGAATTAGAAGAAAATAAAATCAAAAAGTTTCAGAGTTAGAAAGGCCCTCAGGGGCCAAATAGTCTAACCCATAGCCCAAAAGAAGCATCATAAGATCAAGCCAGGATTATGTTGGAGCCAGCTCAGACCAGCTCCCGAGAGCCAATTCAATTCTCAGTGTGAGCATTTACACTTCAGAAATTGGCAAATGCTATAAATCAGAGCTTAATTATTGTTTTGTTGATTATTTAGGCTTAAGAAGATGTGAGGGAGAAAATGTTAGTGACTCAGTAAACTTAAAAAATGCATACCCCTTCCCACCTGCTAGGAAAGCCAGCTATTAAACATTTAATAGCACACCTCTGAATCTATCCCACTATAATATACACATCAAGTGGCCATCCAGTTCCCTCTTAAAGATATGATAGCTGTCTTAAAAAATATGTGAAAAGCTGTCAGGTTGAAAAGAAAATGAATTTGTTTTGCTTGGTATCAGAGGGCAGATCTAGTAGCAAGAGGGAAAGCTACAGAGAAACTGATCCATGTTAAAGACAAAAACTATTTACTAAGAATTCAAGTCATTCCAGAGTGAAGTGGGCTGCCAAGGAAGGAGTAGGTTCCCCATCACTGGAAGTCTTCAAGTAGATGCTTAAGACTACTTAGCAACAGTTATAGGGACTGAACTAGACGACTCTGAAGTCTGATCTACCTCTTAGATACTGTATTTTGTTGGTTTTGCCCTTACCTGTGTCCAGGTGTGTAAATAAGTGAACTACCTAGGCCTCAGACAACGCTTTTCCTGAATTGTGATCATCAATGCACCAAAATTTAGTAGGGCATTGCTTGTTGTCTTGTATTATATACTACTTGATTCTGCTAGTTCTTCAGTCTTGTCTGTACAACTAAATTGTCAATTTCTCAGGAGCAAAATACATTTATTCTACTTGTTTAATATCTCCCACTGCACCTTTCATAGTGCTGGGCAGTCGACATCCTTATGCACTGAAAAAATAATTGTTTTTGTGGTGTAATTTTGGTGGGGGTCCCAAGAAGGTCCTAATTTCTACTCCCATCTCCACATAATGCCTAAAATTCCAGATTCAATATATATTCCTTTGATTGAGAATTCATTCCCCCTTGTAAGCAGGAAGTAGTCATCAACCATTTTTGCCTTAATGCAAATGAGTTGAACTCCTCCCCTATGGAGGGTAGGGGAAAGAAGAAAAGGGAACTAGCATTTATTAAGCGTCTACTATGTGCCAGATTCTGTTCTAAACACTTCAAAAATATCTCATTTGATCCTTACAACAACCCTGGAAAGTAGGTGCTATTAATATCATTTTCTTTACAGTTGAGGAAACTGAGGCAGAGGTTAAATGACTTTTCCAGAGTTAAATGAGAAGTATCTGAGGCTACATTTGAACTCAGGGTTTCTTGACTTCAGCTTTAGCACTCTATTCACTGCAGCGCCTTAACTGGCTCCAGCTGCTCCCTGGAACCAGCCAATATCGTGAGGCAGGGGCTATAGGGAGGTGATACTTAACAAGCAGGCTAATGGCAAGCTTTGGATAATTCCTAATTTTTCCTAAGATTGGTCGTGCCTGGGCACAAAGGTTATTAACTGTTTGACAATGTGAATACAGACCAATTGTGTCCCAAGGGAGAGCATTCCACCAGTAAACTCAGTCGCTAGTTTCAGCATCTCAGTTGCCTTTGGATTAAGCGCTGCCTCCTAATGGCTAACCCCAATTCTCCAAGGGGCTGTTTCATGGCATTTCTTCTTGGCCTGTTTATTCTGCATAGAGTCTGTCTGTCACGGTGAATCTGTTTCAGCCTGTTGGCTTAAGAGCGCTGTTAAAGGCTCTGGGCTCAGTGGACTGTGTTTAACACACTCATTAAAATAATAACCAAAAAGTGCAACCACTTGTGTACATTTGAATGATAAAAATCTAGATGTGGAGTGGGAACAGTCAGATGTGATAAAGCAGATGATTGATTGATTGGAAGGCATGCTTAGCAGAATTCAGGAAAGCCAGACCTGCCTGACTGCCTAAAGAACACAGAATCATAGACCATTTGGGTTGGGAGAGTCCTTGCAACCATTTTGGAAGAAACTTTCTTATTTTAAAGATGAAGAAAGAAGTGTCAGCAAGGTTAACATCCACTAAGAAATTTGCTATTACCGCAAACTCAAGGTGAACTAAGTGAAATTCATTACCTTCCTTCCAATATGTCCCCTGCCTTTCCCAAAAGCCCCATTTATGTAAATGGCACAAACATTTTCCCAAGAACCCATAATTAAAACCCTAAACTTGTTCCTGATCCATTAGACACCGGAAAAATGCTAAATGTTTCCTGCATCATGATATTTCATATTGGGTTAGGTCAGTCTCTCCATAGGCCATGCAGACCATGTTGCTAGTTTTACAACATGGAAGGTATTGGGGAGAAGGGGATGGGTGCTACCAGTAAATCTTTTTTTCTTCCAATTTTATGCCTCTAGAAATTTTTGATACAGTATTGCTGCATCATCAAGTCTCCATGAGTCCACTTTTCCCTAATGGAAATGTAACCCTCAACGAAGTCTCTAGATGTATGGCCTATTTTGGTACTCATGACTTCTACCCCATCCACTTATGAATTGGCATGCAGTGTGTTTTTTCAGAGAAGGATGAGCAATGTGCCTAATGTGTGGCTATATGAAGAGAAATCATTGCAGTCACAGGGTTAAAGACTACCAGCCAAGGACACAGACTTTTCCAGGAAGAGGAAGAAGAAAAAGGTGGGGGAAGTGAAGCAATGTCATAAAAAGAGCATCACACCAGGCACACACAGAGCTTTCAAAAGCATTTGGAGGCAATCGTATTAAAAACTCAGGATAGTTAGTGTCACAGTGTAAAATGTTATGCTGTCATCGCAAATGGCACATGAGGCTCGTATATAAGACAAGCTCAGCCGGAGCCGTGTTTATGTTTTCCAGGATGAATTTAAAGCATTGTTCAAGTCTTCCCACCCCCTCCTTCCCCAGCAGCAGGATAGCAGAAGAGTAGTGTAGGTGTCAACTCCATGGAAGGCAGGATGGAAAACACACCAAGGAACTGGGGACTTTAATTACCTTTCATTCCATAGTCCAATGACAATATTGCTCTCCAATGATAAATTCTCACCAAGTTACATGCCTCTCTCTTGTATTCACTAGGCAACCATTGTCCCCTCACTGGCTGACTGTCACAAAGACAGACATCAGGTGATCTGCTAAGTATAAACTCACATGGCTTCATTAAAATCTATCGCACACATTAAGCAAGGCCATTTAGATGTCTCCTAAACTAGCAGGCATACATCCAGGAGATTTCATATTTGCCAGGATATAAAAGCTGTCATATTTTGAATAACGAATATGCCATCAAATGATCATATTGTTTTGTTTCTCAAACCACAATTAACAATAATGTATAACAACCTTCCCCCACTACCGCCAAAAAGTAATTTCCATGGTAATATGGAAAGGCTCAATTTTATAGAGCACCTATTGACTGAGATGAGGTAAATTTTTATTCTCTCTGTTTCTGTATTTCTCCTTAAGCATGCCCTGTTCCTATCTCTTCTAGTGTCTACAAATCTCATAGTAAAATATTAATCATGCCACTCCTGGCCAACCAGTCCACGCAAATCAAAACCCTGGGGCCTATAGAATATCTCCCAAATTATACTGGTTTCTATCCCGGGAAGCTGATGCTATTAATGTCCTGATAAATGCAGTTGTGTCTATATGATGTCATACATCCAGGTAAAATTGGAAAAGAATAGGCTCGTTGACTAAATTTTTCTAAATGTTGAGTTATTTGACACTTCACAGATAAAATGTCTTAGAT